GCTATTGAGATAGTTTCAAAATAAAATAGTTTATTTTTTTTAAGATTTTATTTATTTATTTATCAGAGAGAGAGAGAGAGAGAGCACAAGCAGGGAGAGAGGCAGGCAGAGGGAGAAGCAGGCTCCCAATGAGCAAGGAGCCGATGCAGGACTCAATCCCAGGACCCTGGGATCATGACTTGAGCCGAAGGCAGACACTTAGCCGACTGAACCTCCCAGGCATCCCAGAATAAAATAGTTTAAGTCCAGGTACCTAAATGACGAGATAATAGTAGTTCTTCTGATGCTATAGAATGCAACCTCCTCTTGAATAAACTTGAAAGGAGACTTTGCTGAAACAGGTTTGTAAAACTAAGTTTTTTCAGCTTTCACAAGCAGCCACTTCCCAATCCTCTGGCAAGCATGCCACAGGCAGCCTCCCCTATATAAATATGCAGTTAGAAAGATAAACACTCATTAAAGTCCCTAGTGGTAGCATTGTTTCTCAGAGTTCAGCAATATTTGTTCAGTAAGTAGATAAAGAAAGAGATTAGCAATGTTTCCATTGGGCTTTACTCCTTCCTAAAACCAACCAGCCTTCTCCCTAGGAGAAAGACAGTAATCTGTGTGTGTGTTCCAGAATGTCTCAGGACAACTTTCTACTTCAAGAGCAAACCAAACTCCTCACTGGGTACATGCTAAGCCATTCATTTTTTTAGGGCCATTAATTTTAGTAACTTAACAGGTCAGTCCTCCAAAATAATAGGAGTAAATCTGTAGAACAAATTTCCTATTTAAACATGTTAATATAGCTTAAATATTTACACATGAAACTAAAAATGATTTGGGTAGCTGCTCTAATCTCATTTCATAGACTTACAGACTTTCTAAGAGCTTGATCTATCAGTTAGTATAGAAAGAGCTCTGGTCTTAGTTCCAGCTGAATTAGGCCAAGGACTAACTGTATGATCACTGAGAAAGCTGGGCTAGGCTTTCCTTATAAAATAAAGGAGAATGGAGTAGATGAGCTCTAATATCCTTCTGACTCTGAAAATTTATCATACGCTCTTGGGAAAAACAGATCTCATCTTCCTATCTCATAAGGTTTTGGTGAGATCAAATGACAGGATATACTCCAAAGCATCGTGTTGACCATGCAATAGAATTCACAGGTGAGGGGTAGCTGTATTTGCTTTCTTAAGTCAGCATTTGGCAGAATAAATGAAAGAAAAACAATAGCAGAAAATGTTTGCCCCTCCACTTTAAAGAAGGAAGGAAATAATTTTAGATTCTAGAGTTATTTATGGCTCTTTCAGATAGAGATTGGGTGAAGTAATTAAATTTGTCATGTGTTAATATGCTGGTTCTAAGCAGCTAATATAAAATCTTTGTCAAACAAAGCAATACGGTTCTCTTATCTGATTAAAATTTTCAAAATGTTAACAAACTAATCTTTTCAGAAGAGAAATCTAATATTTAGGCATATGTTATTTTCTTTAAACTTTTTCATTTGTTGATTAATTTCAAGTACTTTTCCACCATCTGGGGATACAATGGTGAACAAAACAGGCAGAGTCCCTTCCACCAGGGAGCTTAACTTCTGACACTAGTGAGGGAAAATAAAAATACATGTAAATAAGCTAATAACTATCCCAAATCAGTAGAGGGCTAAGTGCCATAGTAACATTTAAAACAGAGTAAGAAAGATGGGGGAGCATCAAAGAGGGGAAATGCTGTTTTCTATGGACTGGCCAGGGAATACGTCAATGATACAGAATAACAGGAAACTGGGAAGGAACAAAGAGGAAGTCATGTAGAGACAGTCCAGGTAGAGGGAACAGTAAAGGCCAAAGCTCTATGCAATAGAGACCTTGGGGTATCTGGGAAACAGCAAGAAGGCCAGAGTGGTAGAGTAAGAATGAGAGGAATAATTCCCCATTATTTTTTCCAAGGAAAGAATGATCAAACTTATCTTTATCTTAACATCTACTTTAAGTCCAGCAGAAACTTTTTTTTAAGAAAGACTTTATGTATGTATGTATGTATGTATGTATGTATGTATGTATGTATGTATTTGAGAAAAAGAGAGAGTGCACGCACAAGCAGGGCAGGGGCGCCAGAGGGAGAGAATCTCAAGCGGACTTACCGCTGAACGCATAGCCTGACATGGGGCTCGGGGCGGGGCTCGATCCCAGGACCCCAAGATCATGACCTGAGCTGAAATCAAGTCGGACACTTAACCAACTGAGCCACCCAGGCACCCCAAGTCCAGCAGAAACTCTTCATTGAACTTCTTTTGTTTTGTGCCTCAGTTTTTCATTTGTAAACTGGGGATAATAATAGTACCTCATAGGCTTGTGAGAACTAAATGACTTACTAAATATAAAGAATAATTAAGACAGTATCCACCACAGAGTAGACCATGGAGGGCTAGTTTTTATTACTATCATCATCACCTCTTTATTCACAACAACATCAATAATTCAATTTTTTAAGCCAATAGTATTATTTTGTGCCAACCATTAATTATTGGGAGAGTTTCCTTACACGTGTTCTTAGGACGTTAGGTAAGGTCCTGGTATGTGATGACTGAAGCTCAGAGGTTCATGTCATCAAATGTCTTACAGAGCACTGACAATAACAAGGAAAAGAACTGGGGTTTGAGATTTATATGTTAATTTAGGCATAAAATGAATATGATATATGCATATACTCACTTGAGTTTTTCTTTATTTTTTTTCAGTCAATCTTAGTTTCCTCTCCTGATGGCAACACAGAATTCTTGGATGTTTGCAATCTCTTTCATATTCATTTCCAGCATGTGGTCTGAATTGATTCCTTGTTTCTCAATTACAACCATCATAGAATCAAGATTAATAACCTGCTTGGTGAGTTTTTTTCACTTTGGAATCTGGAGCCTTTGTACTCATTGTGGCCTGTCGGGCTCTCTGTGGTTCTTTCTAAATGCTCCTGCAGTGCAGGTTAAGGACAACAGCAAAGACAGGGAAGTCGCCTGCCTTTGGGCCTTCCCTACCTGCTTCCATGATTTCTTCTCTTCTCCCAGGGATGTAATCATTGTTGAGGAGAGTCTGGAAGTGGATTTAAAGGTCATTAATGTAACCCCTGTGCTTAGAACAATGCCTGGCATATTGGAGGTACTCAATAAGTATTTGTGGAATAATTAAACATATGATAGGTCTGGTGGACCATGTTGTACTCTACTAAACAGACTGTCACTGAAGCATGACGGAGAGGTAGAGCACCTGTCTACTGTACTATCCTGTGGGGCTGGATTCCCATCTCCACCTGCCGCATGGAGCATCCGCCTATTATCATCAGGCCCTTCAACTCAAGGCACAGGGTACCCGGGGCAGGTTTTACTTTTCATGGCCATTGCACTTGGTTTCACTAGTTCCAAGAGGTTGAGTAGAGCATATGAAAAAAGAAAGAAAGAAAGAAAGAAAGAAAGAAAGAAAGAAAGAAAGAAAGAAAGAAAGAAAGAAAGAAAGAAAGAAGAAAGAAAGAAAGAAAGAAAGAAAGAAAGAAAGAAAGAAAGAAAAGAAAGAAATTGAAAGAAAGAAAGGAATTGAAAGAAAGAAAGAGAAAGAAAGAGAAAGAAAGAAAGAAATTAGAAAGAAAGAAAGAGGCATCCTGGAAAGATTTTTATTCCTGGGCTCACTGGTCATTCCCTCAACATTCCTCCAGAAAATACTTAGTAGCAGCCCCTTCTGTATTGAACATAGGCCAAAGTAACATAATACTGTAGACCTGTATAGTGTAATTAGTATAAATAAATACAACCAAATAAAATACTTCATGAGAATCACAAGTGGCACAAAAACAGGATTCTATATACCATATAATGTCAAATGGGATGATTGATTTTCAGTGAGGAGAACAGGAAAGCTTCAGAGAAGAGGTGGTATTCTCTTTATCATGGAAGGAATGAAGAACATTTCAATAGGCAGAGTGGTTATGTGTTATTAATAAATACTATAATTATAAAATAGCAATATTACACCATCTGTCAGAAAGTTTCATTATTAATCCATATTAATCCAAATATGTCTCTGAATTTTTGTCTGTGATTCCTTGTGCTCCAAAACTGTGATTCTGAGCCATTTTAACCAAGAAACCCTTATAGGTAAGAACAAGTCAGTTTATAAGGTCATGTGCTGGGACACTATTATAGGATTTGGTCGAGGTATTGCCCTTTCTTCCTTCTTTTCTTTACTACACACATGAGAGATCTGTCCCAGATGACAGATTTCTGATGTTCACTCTTTCTCAGTTAATAATTGTATTTATTTTATTGCAAAAAATGAATTACCATCTTTCTCTGAGAATGCTTTCAAGTATCCTATTTCTCCCGACTAATGACGAAAAGTGGAGACTGTGACAGGTGTTTAATATATTTGAGAAAGATTTAAAGGAAGGATGAGTTTGAGGGATTTTTTTTTTTCAAATTCCCTTCCTATAATTTTGCTCATTTATTCAGCAACTATTCATGAAATGCCTGCTTTGTCTCAGCCTAGACGACAGAAAGAGTATTCCTGGTAGAGTTGTTAAGTGTTATTAATTTATACTCTAACTATTCAATAGAAATGCTGTACTTTTTTCATATATGATGTGTGATCCAACATCTAGATAAAGGCTTTAATTTTGGTTGTTCGTTTCCCCAACAGCGTTGATGAGTCCCATTACTCAAGGAGCATTTAATGGTAAGAAGCAAGAAGCATAGTCGGGGGACATGCATTCAACTAGTATTTACTGAGCCAGGTACTATATATAAAATTTAATGTTATGAGGAGTTTAGTTTTCTGAAAATGACAATCAGTCGAAGATAGAAGAAAGGGGGTCAGTTTTAAAGTTGAGCACAACATGTATTTTTGTTCTGAAAGGGACAAGGAAGGTGTGGGAAGAAGGCAGACAAAGCAAGTTGAAGATCAGTTTGCCCATAGGGAGAAATTCAGTGCCCACCAAAGAAATGTCCATTTAAACAAGAACAGAGGATCTGCTACCTGCTGGACGATACAAAAGGTGCCTTGTGCCTAAGGTTCGCTCCGCCTGTCGCGCCGCAAGCCGCACACGGTGGCTAACACGTCCTGCAATGTTGGGGACAGCCTGCCCGCTGGGGCACCGAGGACAACCCGCGCTCCGCGTGCTGGAGCCGGCAGCCGCCCCCACCTGCTGCAGGGCGCCGGAGCCCCGCCCCCCTCGGGCGCGCGGGCCAATGGGCTGGGCCTCAGGGGGCGGGCCGCGGCCGGGCGGGCGGTGCGAGGCCTGGGGGGCGGAGCGAGCGGGGCGGCGTGGTGGTGGCCGTAGCTGCTGGGGCGGCGGCGGCGGCGGCGGCGGCTTGGCCCGGCGTCCGCGGGCCGTGGGGGATGGGGGCGGCGAGCTCCAGCCCTCGGCGGAGGCGGCGGCGGCCGTGAGTGTTGGGCGGGCGTCCGCGTCCGAGACGCGGGATGGAGCGCCGCGGTGAGTGTGGGGCGGCGGCGCTCGTTCCGGCCGCGGCAGCTGGGGCTCGGGGCTGGGGTCGTCGGCGACGCGGCGGTCCGGTTGCGGTCCAGGGTGTGGGTGGCCCATGCGGCGGCCCCGAGCCGAGGCGGCTGCGGGCTGCGCTGAGGGTCGGGCTCGTGTCCTCTGTGCTGCTGGTCCTCGGGGAGGGGTCCGACGGGGCGAACGGCGCCCCGGGTGCGGTAGGAGCGGAGGAACCGGGAAGGGCGCGAGCATTCGCTGCGCGGACACTTTGGACCCCGGTTGGGTGTCCTGAATTAGGCGACGCCGCGCGGCCGCGGGGGAAAGGCTCGCCCGGCGGACTTTAATCCCATTCCAGGTTCTCCCCCCGAGCGTCCTGCAGTCCCTCTCCCTTTTCTGGCTACACGCCCTCATCGCCTCCGTGCACAGTTCGGGGTTTCCTTTACCCCCTTACCCTATTGGTTTCCTTCACGGGGACTTAACGTTCATCTTCCTCGCTTGGGATCTTTTTGGAAGTTTGGGGGTGTTTTCTGAAATTTCAGTCTGACAACTGGCAAGGATGAGATAAAATAACAGACATCTCGTGTTCCATATCTACCTTTTCTTATCACACTTCACGTCATCTAGGCCCAGGCTGTTTATTATTTGGAGAGGTGGGGGAAGAACTGAAGGTAGAAAAACACTCTCCCTTTCTGAGTGCCTCCACTCAAGCTTCTCTGTCACTCTCTCCACATGACTCCCCTCTCCCTACTCCTCTTTTTCCCAAGTAACTGGCCCTTCACCTCCACCCCCTCCGTCCACCTTTTCCCAAGCCTTGGCTCTAGGACAAGTCCTGTGCTTTGCAAAATGGAATTGACAGGCGGGGGCTTGGAGCTACTAGGAAGACAACGTATCCCTGTGAATTTGTTTGTTTCCCTGGATGTCCCAGGACCCTATCATGGAAACTTGGTGCTGAGGGAAACCTTGGAGCCAGGGGCTCTCCTTGTCTTTGAGCCCATCTGAAATGTCCAGGGTCTATCTCGCTTTTTCACCACCACCACTCTTTGCAGACAAGGGTGAGGTGTTTTTTGTTTATTTGTTTTTGGTTTTTGTTTTTACCACTACCCCTCTGTACCTTGGGGTTTGGGGATTTTTTTGATGTCCTCAGTCTTCTAATATTGGATATTTGGGGAGTATTAAGTGTTTGGTGAAAGTTCCAAGACACTGGTGGAGCCAAAATTGCCATCAAGCTTTTTGTTCCTCATTTCTCTTTTCCTTTCCTCTTTTAGTGGGAATTAGCTTTGCATCTTCATTCCGTTTGGGAAAGGGGTTTTCTCTTCAGAAAAAAGAATTCATGAGTAAAGAAGTCAGAACAAATTATGAGAATCTTGGAGATTTAGATTCCTTTCTTCAGAGATTTCTTTAGGCAGTTTGCCAGAAATGCATAATTAGAAATGCTTCCTGATTGTAGGAACAGAGCAAGTGAGGAGCCCTGACACTTAAAATTCATTAGCTTTATGGTACAAGTAGCTCTGGTCTCCTGATTCTGAGAAGGGTTTGAGAGTGAACTTGAAGGAAAGTAAGGTAGGCCTGGGTAGAAAATGTTTCAGTCCCCAAATTGGTAAGAAATAGAACTTTGGCTGAGATGAAGAAAGCACTGTTCAGCAAATCAGTGGTGGCTGGTCGTTCCTACTCTGCCCATCTGCCTAAAATAGAACATCCACCTAAATTATCGGTGCCTTCACTTCCCAGCTGTAGAAGCCCTTGACCTAGGAATGTGGGCTTCTACAACCACTGCTGTTGGTCCCAGGAGTCAGCACTATGTTGAACAAAGCTCACACCCAGAAGGCCCCCTGGAAGGATTTGCATTCCTGTGCCATTGGTGATTCATTCAGCGGTCACCCTGATACTTTAGTTTCATCCCACTGTATGTTAGACAGGGTCCTGTGGAAACTTTCATAGGTAGTTACAAATTGATAGGGCCCAAGGCATAATATATTGGGTTACCCAGGAAAGCATATTGAATGTCCTATAGGAAAGTAGAGGGATGATTTATTTTCAGTGGAGGGAATGAAATGAAAAGACTTCTTGGAAGAAATGATGTTTTGTGTGAGATTGAAATTAAGAGAATAATTTCAGTAAGCACAGAAGGCAGAAAGGACCTTCTGGACAGAATTGCTGGTTATCTGTAATGCATACCAGGATGTTGATCAGCTTCCGTGATTCTGCTTTGAAGGCTATTTTGTTTGTTTTTCGTTTCCTACCTCAGCTCCAGATGATGATGAGCCACAGTACATAAGGACACATGGATGTGTAAAGAAACAAGGAGGTTTAAAAGGAAAGTCAGGAACACGTTTTGGTACATGAGGATTTTCGTGGAGTGTTTACCCTTCCTTCTTTATCTTTATTATTACTCTGATAAGCAAAATAGCCTTTTGCTTATACTGCCTCCTTAGATAAGAATTTTTCTTTTTCTTAGAAAATGTTTCAATATTTGTCATTGGGAAAGTTTTCAAATACCATAGTCTTCCTTCCCAAGAAAGAAGATGGAAAATAGTTTGAAAAGTATTAAGGAAAGGAGTCAGTTGAGTTTGAAGGACTATTCAAATGTAACATTCTGTAATTTTATAATTTATTTATCTAATATTCATTGAGCACCAGCATGCTATCAGATTTTTATACACTTTGAGTGAGTTTTGACAAACGTGTACACCCATGTAATCACCTCTGTAAATCAAGATCTTAGAACATTGCCATCACTCCAAAAAGTTCCCTCGTGCTCATTTGGAACTCCCCCACCATCATACCACAACCCCTGTCCCCAGGCAACGATTCATGCTTTTTGTTACTAAAGATTAGGTTCATCATCTTCTAGAATTAATGTAAATGAAATTATACAGTATGTATTCATTTGTGCCTGGCTTCTTTCATTTAACATAATGCTTTTGAGATTCACCCATGGTTTTTGCTATCTCGTGGATATCTATTGTTAAATAGTATTCCATTTTAAGGCTATGTCACAATTTGTTTATGCATTCATCTGTTGATGGACCTTTGGTTTTTCTCCAGTTTTTGACTATCATGACAAAAAGTTGCTGTATACATTTATGTACAAGTTTTTGGATGAACATATGTTTTCATTTCTGCTGGGTTGTATGGTAAATGTATGTTTAATTGTTTTAAGAAACTGCCAGTCTCTTTTCCAAAGGGGTACTTCATGTAGCAGCAATGTGTGAGGGTTTTAGTTGCTCTATATCCTACCCAAAATTTGATATTTAATTCAAGCTAAAATTAGGAATTCTCATAGATATTTAGTGGTATCTCATTGTGGTTTAAATTTGCATTTCCCTGATACTGATGATGTTGAACACTATTTCATGTGCTTATTGCCCATTTGTGTATCTTCTTTTGCAAAGTTTCTGTTCAAATATTTTACTCATTAATTTATTGGGTTGTTTGTTTCTTATTGAGTTGTAACAGTTCTTGATATAATTTGGATACAATTCCTTTGTCAGATATTTTCTCCCAATTTGTGGCTTGTCTTTCATTTCTTAAGTTGTTTTTCAAAGAGCAGAGATTCTAAATATTGATGATGTCCAGTTTACCAATGTTTTCTTTTGTGGTTCTTGCTTCTTGTGTCTGTTTGAGAAATTGTTCCCTAGATTTTCTCCCATGTTTTCTTGAAAGTGAGGGATTCTCGAACTTTTTCTTAAAGGACTAGATTATAAATATTTTAGGCTTGTAGACTATAGCACCTCAACTATTCAACTCTGCTGTTGTAGTTCAAAAGCAATTATTGACAATACATAAACATTTAAGAATGGCTGTGTTTCCCCCCAAACTTTTATTTATAAAAACAGATAGCTGCCCCCTCTGAATCCTGAATTTAAAAGGCTGATAGATTTAGATTATATGTTTAGGTCTATGATACATGTTGAGTTTAATTTAAGGTATGCTGTGAAGTAAGAGTCCAGGATCATTTGTTTTTCATATGGATATCAACTTATTTCCCCATCATTTACTGAAGAGACTCTTTTCCCCCATTGAATTACTTTGACACCTCTTGAAAATCAGTTGACTGTATATATGTGGTTCTGTTTCTGGACTCTATTCTATTATGTTGATGCATGTCTCTAAATCAATGTCGTGCTATTTTGATTACTGTAGCTCTGTAGTTGAGTTTTGAAATCAGGCAATGTAAGTCCTCAAACTGTTCTTTTTCAAAACTGTTTTGACTGTTCCAGTTCTTTCCCATAATCATATATATTTTACACTCAGCCTGTCAATTTCTACAAAAAAGCCAGGAGGAATATTGTTTAGGATTACTTCAAACTGTTGATCAATTTGAGAGAAATAAAAGTTCTAACAGTATTGAGTCTTCCAGTCCATGAACATGGTATACTTATTGATTTATTCACTTCTTTAATTTCTTGCATTAGTGTTTTGTAGTTTTAAATTTAAGATCTTGTATGTGTTTTATTAAATTTATTCCTAAAAAGTCTTGTTTTTTGATGTTATTGTAAATGGTATTAGTTTCTAAAATTTTATTGTCTAATTGTTTGTTGCTAGTATATAGAAATAAAATTGAAGTATACTGACTTTATATTCTGTGACCTTATAATATTCATTTATTAGTTGTAGTAGCTTATTTATAGGTTCCTTAGGATTTTCTAGGTATACAAACATGTCAACTTGGAATAAAGTGTTTTACTTTTTCCTTTTCAATCTAAATGTGTTTTATTTTTTGTCTTGTTCTATTGTACTGGCAGAGACCTTCAGTAACAATATGAATCCCTATCTTAAGAGGAAAACATGGTCCTTCATCATGATGCTAGCTGTAGATTTTTTGTAGATGCCTTTTATCAGGTTGAAATTATTTTCTGTGCTGACTGCTTTAATCATGAATTGATGTGGAATTTTGTCAGATGGTTTTTCTCTATTGAATATTAAAGTAAGCTTGCGTTCCTGGGACAAACCCTTCTTGGTCATAATGTATTATCCTTTTTTATATATTATTGGATTTGACTTACTAATACTGCGTTAAGAAATTTTGCCTAAAGTTTTCTTTTAATATCTTTGTCTGATTTTGTTATCAGGGTGATGTTGATTTCATAGAATGAGTTGGGAAGTGTTCCTGCCTCCTCTATTTTCTGAGAGTTTTTGTAGGATTATTTTATCTGGTTCAATAGAGTTCATCATTAAGCCCATCTGGGTCTGCAGTTTTCTTTGTAGACATTTTAAATTATAAATTCAATTTCTTTAATACATGTAAGGCTATTTAGGTTTTCTATTTCTTGTGTTAGGTTTGGTCATTTGTATCTTTCTAGGAATTTTTCCCATTTCATCCGAGTTGTTGAACTGGCAAAGTTTTGGTAACATTTCTGTTACCCTTTTAATATCTGTAGGGTCTGTACTGATATTTCTTGTTTCATTCATGATTTTAGTAATTTGCATTTTCTCCCTTTTTAATCAGTCTGGCTAAATATTTATCTATTTAATTGCTCTTTCCAAAAAACCGGCTATTAGTTACATTCATTTTTCTCTGTTGTCTGTTTTCTGTATGTTTCTACTCTTACCGTTATTTCCTTTCTCTTACTTGCCCTGTTTAATTTGCTTTTCATTTTCTAGCTTCTTAAAGTGGAAGCTTAGATCATTGATTTTAGAACTTTATTTTTAAAAACATCT